CTAGTAAGATTACACAACTAGATTAGTTGTAACAGTAACAAAAGCATTGACTTGAAATAATCTGAACAAAGTTAAACAAAATGGAACCGTAAATATTCTGACATTTGCCACAATTATGAGATTGTAGGTCTCATAATTATAGGTAATATTTTACACAGATATGGAGGTTAAACAGATGGCGTTACAAATGTTACAACACCCCCTGTCTCCCCTATTAAATTCATGTCAGACTTGTTCAAAGCCACAGTCTCAGAGGTATTTTTTTTCTTAAACTTACAGGTAGCCTGCATGATTTTGTTGTTACATAAGCTATCAAACCTATATGTTTGTTTTAGTAGTATTACAGTAAGTCATGTGGGTGTGGGTGGTTACTTATGTAAGTTACAATCTCCCATAACTACTAAATTATTAAACTCTCTGATGATTACTTAACTGTTACCCTCCCATATTGATCCTGACTGGCTTTTATTGACCGTTGCCATGTAGTTATAGTACTTTTAGTACATCTGTTCCGCTATTATTGGGATATTAAGCCCAGCTAAACAAGCCTTAGACATCTTGAGTAAAAAATTCTCATATTAGCCTACATGTTTACCAGTGCTGTACCTAATTGAAATATCAAGACATTTTAAGAAATATCTTCATAATTTAATATTTTAATTATTAAATATATTGCATATGCAATTTGTTTGTATTTTCATATAAATATAAAATGTTTACTTTAATTAATTTTTATATATAGAATAATTAAAAACAAAAAATGCAATTTGTCTGAAGAGACTTTGAGTGTTAATCCAAAGTTAATGGGTTCACCTTTTGAAATAAAAAAATGCCAATTTTAAGTGTCTATGTATCTTATTTGACATTTTACTTTTACATGTTAATCCCAGTGTTTTTGATTTCATTGTATTATTTTTATTGAAAGTGTCCCTATAAGTATGTTAAAAAATGTTAATTTAATATAACTACAAATATATATAAAATACATAAATATAAAATGTTTTATATTACATTTA